GGCGAGCGATTTCACCAGGACATTGCAACAATGGAGAAACGCTATCAGGGCAAATGGAGCCCATCAATGCTTGCAGACTATTGATGGACAGTGACAAGAGATGCTCCATTTAATGAATACAAGAGACAAGCCAAGAAGCGCCGAGTAGACACTGAATAGGACTAAACTATGTACATAATAGTTTTTTGCCTTTTGTTTCATAATAAAATTTATATAACCCTTTTGCTGATTTTTAAGTGTTACATAAACAGGACAGGTGAAATATTATCATGTAAAGCAACCATAAACACATGAAAAGACCTAGGTTTACAATTTATGTTTAAACCTCTACTGTCTACACAATATACATAGACATAAAATGCAAAAACTTAAATATCTTAGAAACAGTAGCCAGTTGTTTTAATTGTCATATTTGAATTCAGCACATCAAAATACATAATAAATAGCACATTTTATCTCTGAAGCAGACGACTTCTCAAAAACTGTAGACCAGTGTTATTATTATTATTATTGTGGCCCCGGGTTTCCCAGTGACTAGTGATTTCGAGAGATGCTTTAAAGGGGGCCTGTCAGACACCCATGCTCTGGAAATCAGGCCCCTCCCCAAAAGGGCTCATGTTGGGCCCCCACAGTCCCTGGCCACTTGTGAAAGCCCTGGCCTATCTCTATGGCTGTAGCACCTTTGGGCCCCAGTCAGGAATCAGGGCCCCAACCAGGGTAGATACGGCCCCTGGCCCAGCTCACAATTCAGCCCATAGTGAAATATGCCCCACCTTTCTCATTACGCCCTCTCCCCCCACAAAGACAGGCCCCGGTGGGCTTCTTCTGCCTGACGCAAGACCCACCCCCCTCCACTCGGCACAGCCACAAGCTCGCTGTCCCTAGCCTGGGCCCTGGCTGCCAGCTGGCACCCCAGAGCTGGCCAAGGGGCCGAGCCACAGTGCTAGAGAAACCCTCTAAGGAGGGGAAGAAGTCAGATTGCAGGAATTCTCCTGTGCTGCCAAGATTCCTGATACTTCAAGCCACCGAAGGGCAACACGGACGCCTGTCTGATCTCTTCCCCTGGGAGGAGATCGGTCCTGCCCATGGGCACCTCGTGCCCCACCCCTTGCCCCATCTGAATCCCCTCGTGGCTTTCGGGCCTGCTCCAAACACGCACCACAGGTGAGCAGGCGGCCCCAGAACGGCAGTTGCAGCACCACCCCGCTGCCTGCTGCGACCGCAGCTTCCTCAGGCCAACGGGCAGCCGCCCCGAGCCGGAGCCACAGCTCAGAGCCAACGGGAACCGGCCTCTGGGTGGGGAGGCTCAGAGCCCCCAAGGCCTGGCACTAGGGCCCAGCATCACCTCCCATCGCCTCCTGCCCCCTCCCATCACCACCAGCGAGGACAAAAGCATGAGCACTGGAGGCTGATTTTATCCACCCACAGGCCAGGCCCAGCACGGGCAGGGCTGGTGCCAGCTTCTCCCAACACTGCCCTGCCAAGGGACCTCAGCCTAGTCTGCAGGAGGCCCCTACTGGACACTCTGGTGAGGAGTGGGATAGAAACGCTGTAGTGTTCAGGGCCCAGGTCCTGGGCTGGGATGGCTAACCAGCAAGTTGGCTAAAGCCAGTCGGGGACGCGGGGGTTAGGGGGGTGGTTCATGGCTGGGGCCACCGCTGGGAGCCAGACAGAGACTCATCAACTCATCTACTGCAGGTCACTGAGCATGCCTTGATCTCAGCCGTGCTCCAGGACTGTCAGGAGAGAGTGGTAAAGAACCACAGGGAAAGCTGTTTTCTGCGAACACTGAACAGGGAGTTTTCCTGGGATAAAGCAAACAGTGTCATCCCTAGAGTTACCCAACCATACAGCTCCTGCCTCGAATCTTCCCCAGCTCTCTCCCACCTGGCTTCCTCTACAGAGTTAAAGAAGCAAGACACATAGCCTCAGGCAACCACTAGTGGCCTGTGGAGAACTGATTACTCATATGGTGCTAACTCTCCTCCTTGTTTCAACCTGTGAAATCATATTAGAAGGCGGCTAAATACCCCCTTCCCCCCCTTACTCATTTTCCGCCTAAGCAGTCCGGCTGCTGCCATGGAAATGGTCTGAGATCTCCAGTGGGACTGGAGGTGGCCCGTACATTCGTGAATGGGAGGGAAGCACCCACAGCAGGTGGTAACAGTACCTGGGTTTTCTGGGAGGCTTCCTTCTGGCCCGGAGTTTTAAACCCAAATTTTCAAAAGCGGTCCCTGATTTTGGGTGCACAACTTGAGGCAGACACCTGATTTTCCGAGGCGCTGAGCACCCACGGGTCCCATTGATGCCAGTGGTGGGTGCTCGGCACCACTGAGAATCAAGCCCAAGGTGCCCAGAATCGGTGGTCACTTTGGAAAAGATGGGTCTTGCAGCAGGTGTGCCTGCAACTGCATGCACTGGAGGAAGAGTCAGGAAAGATGTATGATTCACATCCGGGTTACCCAGCTTTGCTTCCCTTACTGGTCTTTTCCCCTGGCGCAACTCCAGAACCCACAGCCCTTTCAAAAGCAGCTGCAGGAGCCGGTTCTGAGCCGCTCGTATCATTACGACCTGCGTAAAATTCCCTGCTACAATCAGACCCAATGGAAAAGAAAACATCTCTCAAGAGATAACTGGTGTTAAATTAGTATTTTGTTTTCTCTCAGGGCATCAAACCACAGCCATCAACACAAACTCCCTACAACCCACATGAGCAGTGTGCCAAAACTCCCTCCAAGCCACACAGGCAGAGCGGCAACTCCCAACATACCCCTTACAACCCAGCCAAACGGTGTGAAACTCCCCACCACACGCCCTAGGCCCTGGGAAAGCGGGAATCCAGGCCATTTTCATTTCGCAGTGACGCTGCCAAGACTCATTCATTCAGTTTTACTCATCAACCAAACAGCTTCTTCTCTCACTGTTGCTCCTAATTAACACCCCCCCGCCCCTGGAAAAACTCAAATTGGTTTCCTTGATCAAAACGTTCCCCTCCATTGCAACAAACACTGTTACTGTAGGTTGGCCCCTGACCCGGGCTGCATGGTGGTTACAGCAAGGCTACTCAAGGATTCTGGGTGGGATGCTAGGCTATGGCTGATGTAGCTATGGGTCAGTGAGCCCAAGGGGGCTAACTGATTTTACTTGCAATTAGCTATAACGATAGTTAGCTTTGGTGCTAGGATCACATTGGTGGCAATGGAGGGGCAGAGGGAGTGCCTTGTGGTACTGCAGGTTTGGACTGGGACTTAGCGACTGTATTAGCTGGATCGGTAAACTGGAGGTGGGATCCCTGCTGGACGACTGCTGGTTGCTTGGGCTACTGGTGGTGAAGAGCTTAGAGGAATCCTGCTAAGAGGAAAGTCAGTTGGAAAGGATCTTGGGAGCCTAGAAATAACCACAGCAAATCAGATGAATGGTCCATCTAGTCCAGTGTCCTGCCTGACAAGGGCCAGCTGCAGATGGTCAGAAAAGTGCCCGAAACCTCACAGGGGACAATTATGGAGTGGGCTGCCTACAGCCGGAGCATTGTGCCTGTATCAACATGACCCTAGCAAGTGGTCATAGCGGGAGAAAAGGGGCACAGGGCTTTTAATTCAGACAAGTGGTCACTGAGAGCCCAGTTCTGCCAACCTCACTCACGCCAAGAAGTGCTTTGCTCCAGGAGTAACCCCAATGATTTCAGTGAGGGGTTACCAGCCAACCATGGTATTACGGTGAGCAAGTGAGACAGAATCAGGCCTCAAAGCATTGTGGACTGTGTTTTTGGGTGGGAGGGGGAGGAGTAGGGAAATCCATCCAACTCGGACATCTGAACACTCCCACCGAGGAGCTAGTCGAGTCTTTTTGGACTTGGATCCGCTCCAAGCTGCTCAGCTTTCCACGGCGATCCGACCCCACGTCTCTACTGCTGGAGCGACAAACCTGGGCAGGCGAGGAATCAGAACGCAAGGGTTTCTCAGCACCTACAAGTAAATGACGCTCCAGACCGGGGCAGGGCAGCCCAGAGAGAGCAAGAGGAACAAAACCTCCACTGCAAAGCTCAGACCAAGAAGCAACCTCACCCTCCAAGTTTGACAAACCCCACAACAGCCCCATTACCCAAAACCTGTCCCCTGCTTCCTGCGAGACTCTTCCCCGCTCCCCACATCCCTAAGGAGACAGAACTCCGCCACTTGTATTCTGCACCACAGTGAGAATAACTTCAGTGACAGGGGCTACTTGCTACCTTCTGAACGGGTCTTAGAAAATCTGCTACCTGATCACTGTCTGTCTGGACTGCTGTTGGCGGAACCCTTCCCATGTGGGGGCCGAGCAAATCTGAAAAATCAGCCCATAAATATCCTCCTCTTTGGCAGAGCTAGGCCGAAACCAACCCCGCCGGATCAAAACACCCCCCCAGACTTCCAGGCGGTCTCCAGCTCGGGTCAAACATCAGCCTTGGGAACAAACCTGGCGAGAGTTTGGACCTGGATCCACACTTTGAGGTTCAGGCCCATCTGACTCACTTAGCCACAGCCTAGGCAACAGCTATAAACAAAGCTGTGATCACCACAGCACTCAGACCTGGCAGCCTCTTGCTTAACACGAGTCCCCCGCACGCTGCAGGAAATCCCCACTGAGGCAAAACAGGGCAACAGAAGGTCTAGCTGCTTTGGGGGCAGGGGCGACGTTAACTGTCAGGCCCAGGAGAGGCCGGACGGCCAGGGGAGCAAGCCAGAGCGCACAGACAGGCAGTGGAACAAGCAGCTGTGGTGATGAGAGCACTCGAAATGCTCATGCAGCCTGGCATGCCCACCCCACACTGCATCCTGCTCCCCTTCTAGCCTCTCTAGCCTGCGTCAGCCCGTTTCTTTCTCAGCTCTGCTGCCCGGGACTGGGCTCTGAGCAAAGACCCCAGATATTCCAACCCACCAGCTGGCGAAGTGCCCGACATCCGGAGAGCACAGGGGCTGCCCCGTTGCCAGCAACCCTGGGGGAGCAAGGTTAGATGCACTCACCTGCTGCTGTCTGCCTTCTCCGTTAGCTGTTATAGGGGCCACTTTCCACACCCCCGAACGCAGCCTGGCTCCCTGCTTTGGGTCCCCAGAGCCGTGCAGCCCCGCGGAGCTCAGAGCACCTCTTTCCTAAAGTCTCTCTCTGGCTCTCTCAGGCGCCCCTGGCTCCTCTCCAGCCTGTGCTGTCAGACGGAGGAGCCTCTCCCCACGCGCTCCCTCCCCCGCCCCCAATCTCGCTTTCGAAGGCAGAAGCAGGAAGCGTGCAGGCAGATTTCCTACAAGTTTTCATGTGCGTGCGCACAGACAAAACTTCTTAACCCTGTAGAGCCCTGCACAAGCCCCGTGTGTCCGGATAGTTCAGCCCGCCATCCTCATCTCTTCCTGCAGCCGTACTATAATCCCTTCCGGGGACTCCGTCTGAAACGCAGCTTTAAAATGGACCCACGATCTCTGGTGAATTGAGTGCTGGACTCTCACCCCTGGAGCCCGCTATCAACAGAGCAGGGGCAGCAGAGGAGGTGGTAGGGCCAAGCTCCTTCCATGCTGCTCGGCCAATGTGCCACCTCTAGGGGCAGCATTCAGTGCCCGCTGCACATTCAGTCCTTGGCATCTCTGGTGATACCGCACAAAGATGCCTAGCTGCATATCTCCACAGAGGGGCCCCTGGTGAGAAAACCTGGGCCACCCCTACAATACGACAGGGCTGGGAGATGTCTCAGAGGTGTAGAGTGGAGAAAGCGACCGATGCTAAGAAACCAGGGACCATCCCTCCTAACCAGGGTTTGGCAGATATGAAATCAGCTTGTGCAACGCGGTCCCCTCTCTCCGGGGAACTGAACGGCGAGCGACCAACTCGTGTCATTGAATGACTCGGACGGTAACAGCCTTTGGTCGCTAACGACCTGCCTTTGGGGATGTTCATAGCGGGACACCCCTCCTTTGTAAAATGCTCGGGCTGACTTGAGCTGGCTTTTAAGATTTCGCTCCTCCCGGGTTGCAGTTTCTGAGGTTCCTCTTAATATAAAGGGTTCCTTTGGGCGTCACGGGTTCCTTCTGACATCATCTATGAAGCGGCATCTTGTTGGGGGTCTCCGTTTCTACAGCGCCCCCCCCCCCCCAGCATCTCACTAGCACACATGGATGTATCCTCGCCCTCCCCCGGGGGAGAGAAGTATCCTCCTCCCTGTTTCACGGATGGGGAAGTGAGGAACCCAAGGTCACATAGAAAGCCTGTGGCAGAGGCAGGACTTGGCCTCAGATCTCCTGACTGCTAGTTCTTGTGCCTTGACCACAAGACCAGGCCTCTTCCTACATTACTCCGCGCCGCCGCCTGCGTAGCGTGGTGCGGGCAGCTGATCTGTGTTTACGAGCAGCGCACGGCGCTTGTCCGTTCTGCCCCAGGGGCACGTGAGGAGGAATATGACACACACCAAAGTGAAGGGGTAGTCGGAGCTGTGCAAGAGGTGGGTCTCCTTAAAGAGCAGCTCCGTGTTCTGACCCGTACGTCTCAAAAAAGTAAAGAAAATAGAAAACAAATGCCCCACGCAAGGCCAACATGATACTTGTTTTATTTGCCACATCCTCGGGAGCCTGCAACAGGACCCTTTTCATAAGGCGGTTTGCCCCCACACAAACTATTGTCAGGGGCATCTAGGCAGAGGACTGTTGCATGGGGGCTCCTCAGCCTAGATTCTATCTTTTTTTAGCGATAAAAGGCCTACTGAGGGAGATGGCACGGTCTAGTGGATACAGCACTGGGATTCATGAAACCTGGATTCTATTTCCACCTCTACATTGACCTGCTGGGTGACCCTGGGCAAGTCGCTTCGCTGCTCTGTGCCTCAGTTTCCCCTCTCACCCTTTGTCTGTCTTGTTTATTTAGACTGTAAGCTCCTTGGGGCAGGGGCTCGCTCTTACTCTCTGTTTGTACAGCACCTAGCACAATGGGGTTCTGATCTTGCTGGGGACCTCCAGGTGCCACTGTAATACAAAAAATCATCAGCCTAATACTGCGGCTGGGTCGGGGGCCTGTTAAGGGGATACAGAGCGTTTCACCATTAGGTTGCCAGTTCAAATACAAGCCAGGTTGGTAGCGCCAAGGGCTTTGTGCTCACAGGCGCTGAGCAGCCACCCCACCAGCTGAAAGCAACGGGCGTTCTCTGGTTGGGCTTCGGTGGTCGTGGAGAAAAGAGTGGGTGCTCTCAGTCTGTGGCCATCCATTGTTAACTCTACCTGTGTGTTATAACCCTTCCCGCCACGCTGCGACTGTCTTGTCTATTTAGATTCTCAACTCTTTGGGGAAAGCCCCGTCTGCTATTCAGTGTTTGTCCAGTGCCTAGCACAATGGGGCCCCATTCTTGGCTGGGCTTTAGGCACTACCATAATCAATAGGATTCGCTCAATGGGCATTCTAGCGGATGGCTGTCCATATGACAGCTGTGGGAAGTCTCAGCGGGAGGCCGGGGATTGAATTAGACTGAAGACCGAACTGCCTCTGCCCCCCAAGAGGTAAGGCATCACGTCAGGGCCAAGGCCCCTGGGCGAGACAGTGTGGGGGAACCTCGCCCTGCTACTGCGTCATGGCTAAGGCAGGAGGTGCCTTCGAAGAACTGTAGACAGAGGATTTGAGTGTCCAGGACCGCCGGGTCAGCACCTTTCCCCAGCAATACACTCGCACCGATTACATCACGCGCACAGAGTATATGAAATAACAGGAAAGTCACGCAGAGGGAGAAGAGGCTGGCTTTCAAACCGAACGCCCCTAGACCCGGGTCTGGAAGCAGTCTCCAGGCAGCGGTGACTAAGGTCGGACGTTCTGCTCCTTCACACTTGCTGCTTCTAAGCGCTGCTGCTGTTCTAGGCTAAGGGGAAACTCACAGGACCCTAGAGTCTGGTATCAAAGCATGCCAGCTCTTCCCTGGGCGAGAAGGTGATAGCAGGCTCCAGTGGCCAGGTAGGAGACCCCAGGCTCTGGACTGGAGGCTAAGGAGAGAGATGCGTCACGGGTATGTGGCGTTAACTGAGTACTATTGTAGACAAGTCTCTGATTGTTCAGGATCTGGGCGTGATGTGACTCCTGCAGTTGTCTCTCCATCACCCGCTACCATCAGGCAGGAGCGCCAGGAGTGCCAATGTATCCCAGCAGGATGCAAGGTGACAGCATCATTTAGCGGCTGCCCAGGGGACAGGGAAAACACAGGAATGACGCACACTAATTTCTGCATCGCAAGCGTTCACTGTCCGGGGCAATACCACCAGCATCTTGCAGTATGGGCCCACCCAACTCTTTCTATTGACATCTAAGGGTGCCGGATTGAGCCCCGGAAGAGGAAAAGGACTTTGAGAACCTGTAGTGCCGAGGAGCTGGGCTCAGAAAGAGAAGGGGCGGGAAGAGGTGCAATATGGGAATGAATTAGAGAAGGGCAAAGCGGTGTTGGTAAAATAAAAACTGACCCAAACCTTCACCCAAAACCGAAGCCCACACGATACAGGAAAGGCCGATTCTTTGTTTTTCACATCAGATCGGTCGCCAGGAGCATCCAAACTCTCATAGCCACCCCCTGCTCCCCGACACCCAGCTCTGCAGTCCCCGGAGATTTGGAGAGCTCCCACAGGGGGCACAGAAGCTGCCAAACTCTTTGGCGACGATCCCAGCTGAGCCATTGAGGCGTGCCCATTTCTGGAACAAATATTTGCATTAAAATGCAGCCTGGCGCCTCAGGCAGAGAGAAGCAGGGTTGGTCTGCGCAGCTCTGCGGCCTGAGCACTGTGTAATTACACACAATGGGGAGCAGAGAAGAGAGAGGTAATCATCACTCCCGGGAACAGCAGTGCTGTAACTGGCATGCTGGGGGGGTGTCATGTGCTGGCATATTCATGAGAGGGTAATTAAGCCCTTACTGTGTAATTAGCGATGAGAGGAGGACAACCCTCTGCAGCAATTGAAACCTCGGCATGGACTGGAATGTGCTTTGCTTTGCTGCGGCCAGGACTCGGAGAGAGCTGCTGGACTCTAGCCAAAGAGCGCTGCTCTAGAACAGAGAGGAACGGACCCAATACTTCCAGCCACTTCTTCCTCGGTAGGGGCCGGGCAAAGTGGGCTCAAGACCGTCCCCCAAGTCTGTGCCACGTGGTGATGGGACCATAGAAAGATTGGTCCAATGAATGGGGCGCTAGCCTGAGGCTCCTGAGACTTGGGTTTGATTCCCTGATCTGCCACAGATCTGGGCAAGTCACTTGGCCTCTCTGTGCCTCAGTTTCCTATTTGTAACATGGGGATAAACAGCACTACCTTATCTCAGAGGGTACTGTAAGGATAAATACATTCAAGAGTGTAAGGTGCTCAAATACTCCAGTGATGGGAACCCTACACACCCCTAAGGTGGATGGAAATCACTCCTGCTGTATCTTTGAATGGGGACACGCCCTCGTTCTCCATCACCATCCCGTATATCCGCTGTGGGCCAGACGCACCCAAGAGATGTAGTCACGGTGGCGGCGGGAACCCTGCTAGCCTCTGCTCTTCACTGCATAGGGGAGCTGCTCAACCGTTTCCCTTTCACATCCCAAGACAGGCCATGATGCTGGTACCCTCCCAGATCAGGCCCGCTTTGGAGATGGAGCCCCAGCCACACTGGGTTTGTGCTGGAGTGAAAGGACACAGGGCCCGGTCCAAAGCCCACTGACGTCAAGGGAAAGAGTCAAAGGGCTTTGGATCAGCCCCATTCTGCTGGACGGAGCGGCCGCAGGCGCTTACGAACGAGTCAAAGGGAACTGCGAGGGCTCGGATAGCTCAAGGTGGATGCCAAAGGGCAGGATGTTGCTCGTTCTGGGCCTAATCCCTGAATTCTGTACACACAACTCCCAGCCGTGCTGGGCATGCCAGGAATTCAGGATCAGGTCCCTTGGGGAATTAAGAGTGGGGCTTCAGGCTCAGTCTGGCACCAGAACACATTCTGGCCCTTTGTTTTCATGTTTTTTCATTTTTTTAAAAATTTTCTCAGCAAATCCAAATGCTACCCAATGGGAGTTGTGAACAGGGAGGGTGACCCCAGGAACAGTGTGCCGGGTCCTTCATCGGAGCAGAATGCAATTCCCAAACGGGTCCAATGCAGTGCAGATGGCAATTCCACTTAGGAGAAATCCTCTGTTCACGGTGACGTTACTTTGACTTCCCTCTTATTCTAATTATTATTGTTAATGAGCTGTACTGCGGTAGCACCAATGAGCCCCAGTCGATGGTCTACATCAGGGGTAGGCAACCTATGGCACGCGTGCCGAAGGCGGCACGCGAGCTGATT